CCTATTTCTGAACTCAGTACCTGGCATAGGGAGCAAAAGCGTCCTGCTCATTTGAAATGATTTAACATTTGGTTTTCCTTGTGCTTCTGAGAAAGAGTTTCTTTTGATAATCCCTAGTGGCGAGTTACAATCTGCTTAAARTACAGGCTCTGTAAAAAGCAACAGGGAAAGAAAACACATTTATGATCAAGAAATATTTTCTACAATAAAAAAATACCCTATGTTGTTGGTTTTACATTGAATGGATCAAAATTACTTGTCCAAAACGAGGTTTCTGTCCTGTCCTTGCTTATAGCAAGGGTAGGGGGGAAATGGTATAGCTCAATAAAACCGTGATTACTTGGGTCTGTTTTCATAATGAGACATAATACAATAGTTAAAAGGGACTGTAGAAGCTATTAACTTCTTGATGTATGTTTCTTCTAATTTGGTTCATATTTTAAAAATTTAATTTTTTTAAAAGTGCCATTGATGGGAATAAAGGAGACACTATATAAAAGTAGTCAAATATTGGTTATAGAAATAAAACTTTCAAATGGTTTAAAAAAAAATCATATCACCTCTTTAACTTTGTAGATGTCAGGCATTTCACGTGTRTTCAACAGCATGGATGTTGGAAATTAATGTCTAGTGAATGATGTTTTTTATAGAGCTGTACACACTGTAATGTTTATACTAATTTCTTTAGCAAGGGGAAATTAAACACAAGTAAATCCTGGTGGTTTGGGAGGCCTTGATGATAATTTCTCCTTTAATGATTAAAAAGCAAGTTTCTGCTGCTTAATTTCTCAAGTTCTTGCATCCAGGCCTGTGTTGTGTTCTGTTCGGGCTGAGGTAATGGGAAAGGCAGACTTTTCCCCAGGAATCCAAAATAAACATTTATCTTGGTGCCTTACAAAAAAACATGAAGGAAAGGAAGCGTGTTGGGCCTACAGAAGTGATACAGTCTTTTATATGGGGATAATTTATTAATTCTTGGGCCTTTGTGAAAGGAGAGTTCATGGAGGTGTGTGACCTAATTAAATAGCCTGGAACAATTCTGATTCTGGCATTTTTCTTCAAACTGAATATATCCTGTTACATATTTGTGCAAAATGAGCAAAGGTGGCATTGAGGACTCTTACCACCCACGTTGCTTGTTGTAACAAACCATCTGCCGTAATGCTTGGTGATCTTAAAAAAAAGTGTGCAATGTAAAATTTAACCCATCACTGCAACTACGAAATTGAGAATAGCAATGTGATTTTTTTTTCTTATTTACTTATAATCAGCAATAACTGCCCAGGCTTGACTTTCTTGAGGATTATTCTGTGGTCTGAGCTTAGCTTCCTGTAGCCTGTRGGAAATGCAACGTGGCATCTTGGAGTAGAAATGCTAGGGAAATGAAGGAAAGGTTTGGGGTTATTTTTTTTACCTCTCAGGTGAGGAGGAGCAACAGTGTTCCAGCTAAACCATCACGTCTGCTCTTGTTGGGAGATTTTTCTTAGAAGCTTAGAAACTAAGTGCTCTTCTTTTAAATAAAGCTGTCTTTAAAAAAAACTCTTGTTCACTATTGCATGAGTTGGGCAGCATGTGTTTAAAAGACTTTGAGAAGCCTTTTGACGTACCTGTTTTAAGCTCAACTAATATTTAATAGAAGTTAGTGGTTTTATATTTCAGTGCTTGAAATGACTTTGGGTGTGAAAATATCTTGCCTTTCTAACATCAGCTTTGAAGAATTGAACTGCACAARGAGTATACTGGAGTTACAGGAACACTAAAATTATTCTTGTATATTTACTAATGCACTTTAGATGCACCTTTCTAATATATAGTATTTCATTGTATTTTGTTTCTCCTTAAGCTTCCATGTAGTATAGTGTATTTCAAGTTGTYAATTGCATCTGTAGTTTTAAAATATCCTTTTGCCCTTGTTTATTGGAATATGGAATTTTGTTTCTCCTCTTTTCACAATACATTTCCTGAGGTTGAGAACTGTGACTGCTTGGACCACCTAGGAATCGGGGAGGTCATTTCAGCACTGCAAGAGCATAAACCTGTGAAGTCAGCATTTGTAAAATAAGTGTGAAGTGTTCTTCATGTTTCCATACACAGAGCTACACCCTACAACAACTGACAGGCTGGATTTTCTTGCTGCAGGGATGATTGTATTTGCAACAAATTCCTTACCTCTTGCCTGTGGCTTCTCGTAAGGGGTGGGGTGAGGAAAATGGCAAGGAGCTGGTGCATTTMAGAGGAGAGGAAAAACAAGGCAATGGGATTTTCTTTTTCTGGGAAGCCAAATATGGTATAACTCTGCTCTGCTGCTGAACTGAAAATAACTTTTTTTATAACCTCTCAGGTATATGTGGCACGGAGTACATATATCATGGAGTAAGACTTTCATAAGGCATTGGTGGAGCACAACATAGCAGGAACTCTACTAGGAAAACCTAATCAGACTAGAGACACTTAGAAAAAGACTTAAATTGTTGGAACGGTGCAGTTTTGGTACTGTGGTTTTACCAGTTAGAGCAAGGCAGGTTAAAAAAAAAATCACAGTGGGGAACCTCTCGTGAACCCGAGGGGATGTCTGTGAGCGCGGGCAGTGCTGGTGTGCAGAGCTTGGTTTTGGCTGTGATCTGTGCCGTGGGGCTTGCAAGACCAAGAGGAAAGGACACGGGTGAAGTTGTAGGTAATGTGTCTGGTTATGATGCCCACCGGTTGGCCAAATATGTGATCCAGGAGTGCAGGTTTCCATGGCTTGTGTTGCGAAGAGGGGCTCTTCCCGTCTCACAGAGGAAGCCATGGGGCAAAATGCAGYGCTTTTGCCTTCACCTTGTAATGTGGATGGCTCCAGCAAGCGCCTAAACACCCTGCTTTATGAAGTGCAGGGTAGTGAAACACCTGCTTCTGGGAGAGAGGTACGGCTTGCACGAGAAGGAATTAAGATGAGTGTTAGCTTTAACAGTTTAGCCAACACTCATGAGTTGACTTAGGAAGCAAGGTCACAAGTTCGGCAGCGTTCATCACTTCAGCCCTGTTCCTAATTAAACATTTAAGCTTATAAAATCACAGGAAAGTCAGAGGAGTCCCACGCTTTTCATGKGCCGCGCGCGCGTGTGTGTGTGTGGTAAAATGCAAAGCGTCGGGAGTAAGTAAATCTCAGCCTTCCAACCTTTAGAAGTATTTTTCTAAAAAAAATCTATATCAGAGTTTATCGGGAAGCTGAGGGCTGCTGAAATGTGTTTGGCAGTAGTCCCTGCTGCCTCCAAAGCCAGCTGAACAAACAGCCCACAGCTCACACAGGAAGACGGGCCAATTGAGTAGGAGGGCAGGAGGGGACAGTGTGGTCGATATTTTTGGGGTCCCAGTGTGYGAGCAGCTCGCTGCCACCTCTGTGTTTTTGTAGCCGTTAGGAACTGTGTTTGGTTGCTTGATCTCACGGCCGAGGTGGCAAAGAAGGACCTTTCCACTTCGCTAGCATACATTAAATAACTGAAAGGACTTTATACTTTGCTGAGAGGCTGGTGCATCTCAAAGGAAACACAGTTTGAGGATCAGACATGTACAGATCGTGGAAGGAAGGAAAGAAAGAAAGGTTGTTTTTGTTAAAGAGCTGGCTGGAATTGGATTATTACTGAACGTTAGTGATACGGCRTCATTTTGCTCTTAGCACTTTAGCAACTTGAGCAGATACTTCACTGCACTTGACATCAAGTGAGCTGGTAGTCTTCCAGTGACCGACTGCAGAGGCTCTGCTGGCTGCACACGAGGGAAGCGCGCACAGGACCAAGTTATTTTTGCATAGTGCAGTTTATTGAGGCCACATCTGCAGCCCGCATGCTTTTCAGCCACTGTCAACAGAACTGCGAGGACTGGAATAACCACTTGCTATTTTTGTTATGCAACTTGAAGTGCTRTTATTAGAAGCAACATTAGGAGATGGAATTCCACGTACAGAGAGTGGAGAGATGAAGAGCACAATGATTCAGGCAACTTTAGTGATATGTTGAAAGTGCCCTTGGGTCTCTGATGTTGCTCCACAGTAGGAGGAGAACGCTTGCRAGCAGGTGCAATGAATGCTTGTGGTGCCCAGCTTGGGAGCCAAACACGAAGAGCTGTGATGCCTCTGTGTTGTCAAAATTAGCATCTTCCAGAAATCATAACCCTCTTCCTCAAGAGCTCAGCACGGCCTTTCTTCAGGTTGTTATGCAGAGGCAAGTGTGCAGCTGCACTTGGTCAGCCCAAGAGGGAGAACATCCAGCTCAGCTGGGTGCTTCTCTGGCCACATATCTTGGCTCTGATTCTCCAGCTAGTCCTCCTGCTTCGAGCAGGTCTGGCTCATCTCTGTGGCTCAGCCACCCAGCAGGAACAGTGAATCCACATTCACGATACTCTGGTGAGTGGTGGGTGGAGAAGATGAGTCTATTCCTACATACTCTGCTTTCCTTAGTGCAGTGGCTTGTACTTTGTACTTCACTTTTATGTGACCTAACCTTGGGCAGTTCTTTCTCGGTGCTGTCCACTGTTTTGAATAATTTGATCAATGATTACACCTGATATTGGAGACTGACATAAGGTGTTTGATTGGAGACTTATTTTCTACCTGCTTTGTTTTTTTGAAGTGTCTTGTGGCACCCGAGAAGCTCTCGGGTTTTCCTTGGAGTAGCAGCTTGATAAGAAAAGTATTGCTGAGTAGTGCATGTGTGTGCTTCTTTTTAGTGGTGTCACATTAGGCCACAAAAACTTGCCCTTTGAAATACAGAAAGGTATACAGAAAAGTAAATTATGAATGGACAAGAGATGTTCTTCAAGCCACCTATTGCTTTCGGAATGATCATGCTGAAAACTGCAGAGGGAGGTCACTTAAGGGATCAGTTATTAGCTGTACTTTTATGCACTGCAGATCTGAAAAGCAGTGTAATACTGCTGCTGCTATTAAACAGTTATGTGCTAAGCAGTCACTAACAGATACTTAACCTAATTTTCATGATTTCTTTCTTCATCCTTCCCATTAGGAGAAGCCCTTTGTGTCAGAAGCAGCTAGGAAGAAAGAGAGAGACTTGGTAGCCAAAGAAATCGAGAGGTTGCAGGTCTCTATTCAGACTCTGTGCCGGAGTTCCCTTCCTCTTGGCAAGATCATGGATTACATCCAGGAGGACATGGATGCCATGAAGAACGAACTGCAGATGTGGCGGCACGAGAACAGGCAGCTTGCAGAAGCTCTGCAGAAAGAGCAAAGGTGAGTGTGTGCAGGGAAAGCTTTATTTATTGGTTTTATTTTTCCTCCTGAGATCAGTTCCTGTTTGGAGAAGGAAGACTTTTACAGACATTTRAGGTGAATTTGCCATCTGGCTTATTTGCTTTCTGGAATTTTTTGAGAGTCTTTTTAAAATTCACTGTAAAGGAATTTTCAGGTCACTTTCACATAATGTTTGTCACAAGAGTGAGAGGAGATTGAGCATGTTTGTATGAGACAAAAGGACTTGGTGTTTTGTTTGGTTTCTCTCAGAAATGTATAAGGAGTAGTGAGGAGGAGCACGTCAGAAGAAAACCTGAGTTTGGAAAGGGGACTAGTAGTGGATTCCTATGTGCCAGAACAATTCTCTGTATTCTGTAATGGTATTAATAGCAAGCGTTCCTGTCAGTTAATAATGAAAAAACACCACCAGAAAGCCAGGAGAGTGAAGATCACACGTACGGCATGCCTCACCAGTGTCCCTTATTATTCTCCTTGGAAGTGGAAATTGTCTCCAATTTTATTTCCTTAGATCTTAAATAAGAGCTAAATTATTATCTTGTGTTCACAATCGATCTGGATAGTTTTGCTCCTCTCTGAAGTGACATGCTTGGTTTGTACAGATGAAAGTATGCCACTGGRTGGGATCCTTAGCTAAGTCCTGTCTTGGTAGCCAGTAATGTGCTAAATGTTAGAAATTTGTTGTTGCTGGCTTCATCTACAGACCAGAGTGGGAATTAGGGTTTTGATTCCCATATAAATTATAGTGATGCTAATTCCTTGTAGCACCTTTACTACATAGCAACTTCTACCCCAAAACGTTGTGAAACTCTTAAATTTCAGCTGACCTTAGAACACAAAGCCCCTCTAAAGAGAACGGAAAAGTTACTTGACATTAAGTTAATGCTTTGAGAAACTGAGGCATTGACTCATTTGCCTTTGCGCAGAAAGTCCCAACCACGTAGCAGAATAAAACGAGGCAGGCTCAGGACTTCCCCCAGTCGTGTGCTTGCTTGGTGGGTCTCCTTTGGACTTGCCACACGAGYCATTTCCCCTTCAGTTGATCGCCCTGCTCCGTGACTGTACCTGCCCGTCTGGCTTCGTGTGTCTCCTGATTTCCCAAACAAATTGTACTCTAGTCAAGGCAGATATCCTTGCTGTTCATGCAGGAGGGGAGAGGGAGGGAGAGGAAGGAACTGCCCAGCTGATTTTGTTTGGGGATTTGTGTCAAACCAAGCTTTGGGCAGCTGTTTCATGAGATACTGCAGAGACCAACATCTCTTTGTTGAGGCCCTTCAGTTCCCTTTAATAAGCTAAGACTGCGGCAACATATCCCAGCACTTCACAGAATCCTGATCAGATCTTTGTAGTGCTACAGTGTGTCAGATCCTTCAGGGAAGAATTGCACAGCTCAGATGTGAAGAATACAATGCTTCCCATATGCAGTGGAATTTGGACGCACATCCTTATTTTCTTTGCTCCTGTGAAAGAYGATTGAAGGATCCCATTGGGAAACGCTAGTGCAATTTCCAGTGGTAGCTTTTTGGTGATTTATTCTAATAYGGTAGAAAGCTAAACGGTTTTGAGATGCAGACCTTGGCTAATGAGTTCTCAAAGCAATGGGGTAATTCGGAATGACAGTGTGGGTGGTTCAGCCCATCGCTTCCCTGGCTGTTAGGTGTGACTGCAAATCCGCAAAGCACGAGGGCAGGGGCCRCGTTTCTGAAAGCCAAAGCCCTGTTTGTTTAAAATACTCCGGTGCTATTGTGGTTTAATAGCTTAGGATTCCCTTTTATTACATTTTTTACTGGTGTGGGATTGCCTGCTCTCGTTAGCAGCTAATGAGGGGTCAGTTCACATGGACATCTGCCCTTTYTCAGACTTCTGCCTGTAGTAGCTGCTGGCCTTAGTGTCATGTAGGAAATAGCTGGTCTTGGGCACTTTCCTTTCCCAGGTTTATAAGGCACATGGCAGCCTATCATCTTCTCCCAGTTCCTTTTGAGTGCGTTTCTTTTTCTCCACTTCCCATTTCTTTGCCATTTTGCAGTAGATTGCAGTTTGCTTTCCCAGAGAAGTAAAATTGAGTGGARGTTGTCAAGATAGGTGGCTGGGAGTGGGTGGTCAGGCATTAGTTAGCCTTAGGGTCAACATAAATAAGCAGAAGTGGCTCCAGGACTCATTTATCTTCTGACTGGCAACAGCTTTGCTGTTTTTCTTCTGTCCCAAGAAAGAGTCGGTGGAGAYTGCTGCCATCTCAGGAAAAGGAGTGTTAACCCCCCGGTTTGGGGAAATGCCTAAGTGGGAGCCTGGATCCGTTCTGCTGTTCCGTGGTTGAACTTTCTGAAGCTCACTTTTCCTCACAYCTACCACTACTCTCTCTACTTTATATTTCTTCATCTAAGCAATGTACTCCTCCCCTTAAAACTCTTGTGGGGAAGGCTGTGGGGAGAGATGGCAGGACCCAGGGGTGCCAGGAGAAGGTGGGTGTCCCTTGTGCCATGTCCCACACAGTCGAACGCCAGCTAATCCACGTGCCAGGCAGTTGCGGCTCTTGGATGGGTAAAATAAAAGAAGTGCCTGACAGATACACACTGCAGGATGAAATAACTGCAAAGCAAAGAGATCTTCCTGGGAAAGCAAGGTTAGCCAAGAATTTCATGTTTGCTGTAGAATTGTGGGTGATCACTGCTGAACAWTATTCTTCTCTGTCCATGTTGTTAGCTTTGCCTTTGTGCTTATTCTCCACTTTTTTCAGGAAGGGTGGGCACAGCTTAAATTCTTTGCAAGCTTCCAAGTATTGAATATACTTTCTTCAAGGAATAAGTAACCTAAAGCAGCTTAAAGTTCCCAGGAACATTGTGCTTTTTGTGTCTCTTTCAGTATCACAGACAGTGCTGTCGAGCCCTTAAAAGCTGAACTGGCTGAACTGGAACAGTTGATTAAAGACCAACAAGACAAGATCTGTGCTGTAAAATCTAATATTTTAAAGAACGAAGACAAAATCCAGAAGATGATTCTYAGCATAAACCTGTCTTCAAAAAGGTAAAGAAGAGAAAAAAGCATCGGAACGGACTGGCATTTCTACGAAATAAAAGCAAAATAGCAGAGGAAAAATTAACATATGCCTTGTTCAAATATAAAATTAAGGACCAGAAGCCTAAAGAGAATATGAAATCCCATTATTACATTCTTTTTTAGAGGTTTGTATTGCCCAGGATAAAATTATATTTATTTGAGTGCAAAAGTTACAGAACTATTAAAATAAGTTGTTTCTTTAGATGTGAACTGTTGTTGCTTGCTTACTAGGGTTTTGCAGCCCCCTTTTCATCCCTGGCCTCTTCAGGGCAGTTTCTGAGCCAGCCCTCTTACATAACCCTTTCCTTTCCTCATACCCACTGAGGTCACTTTTGAACATACTCYCAAGAAAAAGGAGTTTTAGTTGTTTTTTTGCCCCTTTAAAAATTGTTTCAGATCCCCTCGGGTTAGAAATTTGCATCATCCTGTCCATTATTTAAAGGTCTTGTAAAGAAATCTGTAAAAAAATTCCTGAAGATCAAGAAGTAAAGCTGTGGGTAGCAGGCACTTCTTTGCATCATTACAAAAATGATGTCATGTTTTCAGAGCTATGAGGAATCTTATTAAGGAGCTGCTAAAAATGCAGTGTGAGCATCGCCATGTAAGGGAGCCGAAGCATTTTATCTGTGCAGGTGTTAATTCTACTTTTATTGCATATGTTCATTTGGAAAGGATTAATTTAAGCACCCATTTCCTCCCCAAAGCATGTTCCTATAACTTTTTGTATGTGAATAATTTTAATGATTTTTTTTTATTTAACTACAGTTGCCTATACTGCTTTCCTACTGACCTCTTGAGTGTATGGCACGTTAAAGTCCAGTGCACTTATTCCTAACTCTAAAAAGCATATTAGAATAGACACAGCTGTATGGTGCTGCACTGAATAGGAGGCTTCACTCCTTTGCAAGGCTGTTCTCTGAAGATTTTTGCAACGTGCAAATACATCTTCTATTCCCATGTTGTTTGGATTGTGTAGGAACTGGTCGAATCCTCCTATTTTCCATATTAATTGGGAACTTTTTTTGTCCATCAGACCTTTYTAAATCGCTTTAATGGGGGCTCTCAAATATGACTCAGTAGGCATAACGAGAGTGCTTTGAGTAAATCTCACCTTTTCGTCCTGTCATATTGCTACTTGTAGAGACTTCTAAGGACTTGCTGAAGACTTTGGGGTAGTTCAAAGCAGTTGGTTCACTTATCTGAGCCCAATGAAAACAGATGCAGTTAAATTGTCTACAAAAAATGTATGGGTATGCACTTGTTAGCTTTAAGTTATTGGTTCACTCTTTTCTGGATTCATGTATTCYTCACTGATGAGTTTTGGTGTGATATTTCAACACAGTTGAATTTTTTGAACCAAATACTCATTTATCATAACTCTTACAAATACCACTTTGTTTTGCTTTTCGCATGTAATATAAGCAAAATCATTCATTTGAATACTTTCCCTGAAAACCAATGTGAAAACTACCAAAATCTCTTGTYGTTTTAATGCAAGAGTAGGCAGAGAAATCTTAGATAAAGTGTCAAGTTGTTCTGTAACTAATATCCTATTTGATGCTTGGCAGTTGAGTATCAGATTAATTCTCTTGCAATGTATTTCATGACTTAAGTCCCCTGCAGTTCTTCACATTTGCTTAGTCTCTTGCTTGGTATGTAAATATGAGTAGGACTGGTTTTGTAGAAATGTATAGCAAGTACACTGTAATGTGAGTGTAACTGTACAGAGCATCAGATTGTATCATAACATTTATTTTTCTTTTATATAAAATCATTAAAAATGATTGCCTATTTTTCTAGGAATTGATGTGTTTGCATTGTAAAATTCACATTTTAAAGTGGATACAGAACAGCAGCGACATCTTTTGAAAGCATCGGTGGGAGACTTGGGTGGAGGATTAGCTTTGCAAGGCTTTGTCTTGAAAGCTTTTTGTGACTTTGCTGGCAACCTTTATGCTGGGAAATGTTGTGAGAATTCAGCTGACACTGTGGAGCCATTGCAAGAGAGACTAGCACGTGTCAAAAAAAAAAATCAACCAAATGGATAATCACAAAGTAGCTTTACTGTTTAGTATGCTATGGCCGTTCAAAGGGCTCTATGTGTGTTTAAATGAACGAGGAAGTGGGGGAGGATTACTTTTTATTTTGGTYGCTGCGGAGCGAGCTGGGGTCAGCCCTGAAGGTAATTCACACCAGGACTTGGGACTGTGACAGAAACTTGGTGCTTAAAATGACTCATTTCTAGGCCCAAAGCAATCAGCAGTTTATTGCTTCTAGGAGGAGTTGTGTCCTCGCTTCAGGCACTGTAAGGGCAMGATGCTTTGGTGCATGGGATTTTGGTGCCTGGATGGTGAAGAGAAAGTAGGGGACATAGGAAGGAATAAGGTAAGTACTCGAGGCTGTGTTCTTAACTGTCCATGACATTATACTCTTTGCTTTTGAATTGTTGCTTTAATTTTTTTTTTAATTTCAATATTTGAACTTCAAGTGTGAAGCAAAAATCATCGTGTTCTGCGTGTTCAGAAAGACTTGACGCTTGCCAGTGTGAAACTGCAGCTGGGCCCTGTGTTATCACCCTTCCTGCTCACCCAAGGTTGGAGCCTGTCCACTGTGCTCCTGGTCTTGCCGCGCGTGTGAAGGGAAAGGGCTTCAGGAYGTCCATCAGAAGCCCCAGAGCCACAGAACTGATGGAGAAGGAACAGGTGGACGATATGTAACTCCTGAGCGTTTGGACTCTTCTTCTTTCTGCAGGGCCAGGTTATTTCATCAACTGTGGGGGTATAAACAGTGTGATTTCCATGTAATCTGTACTGTCAGCTTTGGAAGAAGCAGGTGAGTCGGAGACACTGGAATTGTCACCATTTAGCATGACTTGGGTGTCTAGAGCCACTTCATCCTGGAGTGCTGAAACTCTTGATGTTGTTGCCTACCAGCTCTGAGGTCTGTGCTTTGCGAGTTGCATTAGAAGGGACTGTCCAGTGAAAAGGGGCAGAAAGTCTGGTGCTCATCATTAAACTGGGTGTCGGGGGCACTGCTTCAGTTTCCCGTTTGCCAGGCTTTCTGGGAGACCTCAAGGACATAGTCTGGATCTTCAGGCACCCGTTTTCTCTTGATGAAATGGGTGGAAGTCCTGCTCTGCCTCTCTGTGAGGCCGGATGTATCCCAAGTGGGGCTGTAAATGCTCCATTCAGCAGGCAGGAAAAGGAGAGGGAGGACACTGGGACAGAGACACCTTTTTGGTCTCAGCTTGTGTGGCTGCTCTTAGGAAGGATCCCAGCCCTGGGCTGCTGCTCAGTGATAATGAGCAATAATAACTTGTTGGCTGCGCTCCCTACATGACTATTTACTTTCTGCATCATATATCACTTTAAAACAAGAATCAATCGATGCTAGGGTTTAATGAATGACATATAATATCTCCTGCAGTCCTAGCTTACTCTTTGTGCMTTGGTCTTTTTTTTAGCTTTTGCATTGCAGACTGAAGGAATGAAAATAGTGCCTCGGAGCCAGGGCTGCTTTAAAAGCATAAAGAGCATAAAGTGCTGCCTCTTTAAAAGCAGTTTGAAGAGGCAGCACTTAGAAAAGCAGAGAAGCATCTGCACATCACAGAGGGACAGAGCCTCTGTGAAAACAGCCCGGGCRGAGTGTGTCTGTGTGTGTGGGGGGGTCTGCCTGAGTTTCTCTTGCGTGCAGCACCTTGCCTGTGCACAGGACTTGCATTTTTACCTTGTGGGTGGTTCGTTAGCAAGGGAAACTTTCTAGCATGGTGGTTTGGGGTTTAAAAGCCCTTACATTGTCAGGTCCTTGTGGAGCTAATGGAATCTGACAGTTCTGGGAGGCAGAACTTGTGTTTCACGACGTGCCTGACATTCTTGCGCAGGTTGTGAGGTGGCTGCCAGCCCCTCTGGTTTAGGTCTGGGGATTATTTTTCAAATGAAAAGGTGCAACACTTGTCAGCATCCTGAAACCCAGTGGCTGGGCAGTGAGTGGTGCAGGCTGGGCAGCAGGGATGGGACCTCCCAGGTGAAAGGGGTTCAAGTCCAAGCATGAGCCTGGGGGAGAGGGCAGGTGCTGGGATGAGCTCACATGGGAGGGCTGCACATTGCCTCAGGTGGGTTGTCTCCTCTTAGTTGATGTAGGTGCTAGAGGAGCCTCATCTGAGGACGTTGGTGAGTTCTCCAGATGTTCAGACCCTTCCCTAGGGTGGGAATGGAAGAGGCTTCTGTCCRTCTCTGAATGGTTCATGTGAAGCTCCAGGGACTTGGCTGGAGTTTAGGTGTCAGAAGGTCCAGTTGTGGTGCAGAAGGAACCCTGCTCTTCTCACCCCTCAGCTCCAGTGGCACATGGACCAGGTGTCCCATRTCCAGAAACACTGGCCGTTGCCGTGCAGGCTTATTCTATATTCATCACTTTGGATGTGCTTTGTTCATCTCATTGTCACATTGAGGTCAAAAATGGGATGAATTGCTACCTACAAGTAATAATTTGTGTTGTCCATAGTAGTGGCTTTGGGTGGAAATCTCAGAGAAAGCTGTTTACTTCACTGGTGCCTAAGGCTAAACAGATTTAACACTTCTTTTCTTGGTGCATTTTGCACATTAGCAGTTCTTGCTGGAGCTGGCCCTGAGTGCTCGTGTTTCGGCCTTGGAGGTGAGTGCTGTGCGGTTTGTCTCTTTCTGGACCGTGGCTCCAGGCTGCCTGCTGACACGGGAAGTTGCCGCTACCACGCTGCACGTTTCATTATCCCCAGCAGCCTGGGAGCAGGGAATACCAGCATCATTATTTTGCAAGGAAAGCTAAAGTTCTGAAGATCAGGTGTGAGCGATCCCGGACGTGCCACCTCCAACACAACCACGGAGCACACGTCCCTGCATCAAGTCTGCCCTGTGTGTTTCTTTATCCCTTTGACCTGGTGCCTGACCTTGCARTGTAATGACCCTGATCCAGCCCGGATTGCTGTGCTGCTCCTGGGGATCTGAAGACCAGATGGAAACAACTCCTGGCGCAGAGTCATAGTTAWGCTTGCTAGGTCGGGAGGGCTGAGCGAGGGACACGCTGTTGCTTCCTCCTTAGCCAGACGCCGCTTTCAGCTGACTCCTCAGYGCAATTTGCTGTATTGGGTTTCTTCCTTTATGAAGCCAGAATAGTTTAGAGACCTCAAGGACAGTCTCTTGCCTATTGGGTTACTTCCCTCGAGCACATCTTGGAACGTAAGGGGGGGAAATGCCAATTACTTTTAAATACTTCATAATTGCAAAGCTGTAGCAGTATTTCTTCATCTGCAAAGAAAAGCCTGGCATTTGTAAGCCAGCCAATGCCTGTAAGATTTAGGGGATGCAGCCTGTTGAAAGCTGATCGGAACTGGGCTCCCAGACAGCTTTGCTTTAATAATTAGACAGATCCAGTCATTTACCAAAGYGCCATGTGCCCATCCACTGAGGAAGCCACCACCACCCTTGGCACGGCTGCTGGGGCTGCAGAAGCAGCAGGTCAGAGCTGGGCTGTCGGGCTGTGCATGGGCGTTTTTAGTGCTTTTAGACATCCATCCTTCTCCACTAGCACACTRTGAGGGGCTGGGTTAACACTGGGACCTTAGACTTCTTAGGTCACTGCAGCAAGATTCATCTGGACCCTGTCACTCGGGGAGCTGCCAGCCCTGAGGGGATCTGAGCTACCTGGGAGTGACAGACCCACACTGCAATGCCCCAAGGACTGGCACATACCTGTTCCCAAGCGCTTCCCGAGAGGTATTGTGAGAAAATACTAAGGAATAATACTTGCTGTATTTTTCTTTTTTTTTTTTTTTTTTTCTCTCCAGTGAGAAATTTAATTAGAAAGAATTAAAATACATAGTTTATGGTTTAATTTAATGTGACGAAAAAAAGGATCAGCTCCTTTGCCCCATACCTAAATCCCAACCTGAAATGATGGCAGCCGGGCCTGGAATTATACCTGACAACCACAGAAGGGAAATGCTTACCGGGAAGGAAAGACAGAGAAATTCCACTTCAGATTTATGACTTGTGAAGCAGAGGTTGCACGGGTTAGCATTATTTTATGCTGGGCTGGTCCCACAGACTCAACTTTGTTGTGAGCTTGGGAATGGGCTGAAAACTGATTTTGTGAGCTGCTTTCACAGGTCGCTTGTGTGCTCAGGTGTGATTTTGCGGCTCTACGGCTCTGGTAGCTACAAATAGTGCAGCATTGTGTTAGGCTTTGCATGGAGCACACGTTTGCCCCTGCTAGGTGGGCTGCTTCTGTCCCCAGCTCGCTCTTCTTGGGGACTTTGGTTTGGATTGTTGAAGTGGTTGAGGAGCATCTGTTGGGAATAGATGAGGAGAGCTGTCCCCTGGGCTACTGAGTCGATAGGGCTTTTCCCTCTGCCATCCCCAAGCCAGCTTGGTGGCAGGTTTCGGGGAGGGAAATAATCCACATGTCTTAGACACCCCCCAGCTCAACCCTTCTTCTCCCAGACAGCGATTTTTAAAGCCAATGCGTGTGCTCTTTGTGTGGGAGACACGGCAAAGTCCAAATCCCTCTGCAGAAAGCACGTGCA